AGAGAGAGAGAGAGAGAGAGAGAGAGAGAGAGAGAGAGAGAGAGAATAGGTGAATGCGTTTAAGAGTATGAGTGTGTATGTATGGGTGTATGCGCGTGTATATATATGTATGTGTAAGTGTGTGTGTGTATGTGTGTACTGCGCGTATGTACGTGGGTGTGTAAGTGTGCACCTGTCCGCGTGTGAATGTGTGTATCATGTATGTGGTGTAGAGAACAATTAGCACACATCAGTAATTACGAGGTGTGAGGTGGTGAGAGTTGGAAATGTTGAAAGGCAAGATTCGAAATTCCTGTTGAAACTGAAACTGAAAATACGCTCGTCAGTAAAACATGTCGAGCACCTTCGAAATCAGAATGTGGCTGTCTGGCTGAAGCAAAGGTCATACTTGGTAGGATAAACAGTCACATACGTAAAAAAGCAACTGCAGGTTGAAGAACCAGTAGCAGACTACTCATGAAATCTAGCGGAGGAGAAAAAGAAATATCAGACAAACCCTTACGCCTTCTTTGATTCCAAATGTACTGACCATGCCTTTCCTCTGAAGCATATTAAGGAAGTCAAGATCAGACGGGGGCGAGGTCTAGAGGTTAGAATATCCACCTCTCATTCAATAAGTACGGGGTTCAAATCTGTATAACGATGGAAAATTTTCTTCTCTAAAATGTTCCCCTTTTACGTCCTTTCCTGCTCTCTAACAATGTTCTGTAGTCTGCTTTCGTCTTCACTTTCTGCCCCTACCCCCTCACCTCCTTTACCCCCTCCTCTGGGTACCTGGCTCTTTCTGCAGCCTTTCTACAACTTCTCCTTGGCTCCTTCTTACTGATACACTGTCTTTCAGCCACCCTTCTAATCTTATTGTAGGTAAGATTGCAGATAAGGGCAGAAAAAGTCGGAGGTCCCTTGTGCAAGTTGAGCATGTCAAAGATCCCTTGGTGGGCCAAGATCGATAAGAGTAGGCTTCAGCCACCACCCGGCAAAATTCGAAACATCTTACCAAATAAAAATGTTTAATGTGTCTCGAGCGCTCATATGGCCTTATGCTGTTGCGAGCGCCGTAAAATACTTTTAACCCCCCCCCCCCAAACCCCCCCCCCCAAAACCCCCCCCCCACACAACCCCCCTCCCCAAAAAAAAACCCCCACACAAAAAACAACAACAACAACAACAACAACAACAAAACACCCAACAAAAAACAGTAGTACTCAGGCAATCTACTTCCTCTATGTCTACTGCACATGCAAATCTGTATAATGCGCACTGCTTTAAGATCGGAACGGGCCATCAATGAACATTTGTGCGAAGAAACGATCCCAGAATCGACTTCCGAGATTCGAAAAACGTTACAACTGAATCGAATCCAGGCAGTTTTACAATTATTATTATTCCAATTTTCGTTAAATGTTTAAATAATTTTGACGAAACCAAACATTCCTAACAGCAGCGGCTACATTTTTCACTGAAAATAGAACCACACAGTGATTTGCAAACACAGACATGATTAAAAACGGTTAAAACAAGTTAATGATTGTGGATTGCAAAATGATTTACTTCACCTTTTGAGATACTAAAAATGTCGTAAAACTGAAGTGGTGACATTTTTCTGCAAATGTTGTTGAGACGTGACTTTTCTTGTAAAAGAGTAGGAAAAATATTGTTATTAAATAGGACCAATTTTGCGAAACGAAATGGAACTTTGAAAAAATTCGGAACTGATGGCGACATCTATAAAATCACGCGTTGACTGCTTTTTATGGTGCTCGAAAGTGAACCACTTTGTATAGCGCAGTATGATGTAGTTCGAAACCTGATCGATATCAGTTTGATTTAAGTAGATCTAGTCTTGACTCGTAACATCGCATCCACTGATACACATGTATATCATATTCAACTACAGTACGGCCGTAAGAAGTGCATATTCCCAAAATATTGCAACCTACATTTCCGTTCAGGTCGGTTCTATCTTCTTTTTTTCTCCTTCCTTGTGGTTCCAGCATTTAAATATCAATATCCAGCCTAAGCTGGAACTACCAGATCTCTAGAGCGAGATGTAGAGGTAGACCCAGGCATATGGGTAATATCTCCTTTCACCTCTTCTCCTATCAATTAGTCCTGTTAGTTATCGGCTTACATTTCCACTTTCTACCCCCACCCCGGCCTCCTTTGGACTCTTCTGTCATTTACGCCTGACTTTTTCTACTGCTACCCTGGCTCCTCCTTACTGCTGTCTTTCAGCAACACCCCTGGTCTAATGGTAGGTAAAATGGAACACTTAGTCTTCTCGGATAAGGGCGAAAATTCTCAGAGGTTCCATGTGCAAGTTGCAAACGTTAAAGATCCACTTTCAAAGCTTCGCTACAGTCCTCTTAGTCTTAGTCGCACATTCCAGAGTGATCTGGGTTGGCCCTTTCATGGCTACCATAGCGTTCTCTTGGGCAAATCCACACCATACTTCACCAGATCATATACACACTCATACGCACATACATACATGTACATACAAACACTGGGTATTAAACCAGCACAATCTTGCACTTTTTTTTTGTTTAGCATAAAAGGACTCCAAACAATACAGGGGAAATGGCAGTAGTTCAAATTGTCATGTCCGTTACTTACCATCTTGAAAATGTTATATTGACTGCTCCATTAAAATTTGACCCATCAGTACCATTTCTTAACAAAGAGGTCTGCAATCACACACCACACAATAAACAGCCGTACAGATATGGAACAATTGATGTGGTTCTGACATCATGAAAGAAAGACAGTGCTTCAGAAACATGTTTCAGCGACTTCTGTCATTTGCTCCTAGTCTTCATTGTTTGTACTTGAGTGTATATCTACCCCGCTCCCCCCCACCCCCTCCTCTCTCTCTGTATGTCTGTCTGTCTGTCTGTCTGTCTGTCTGTCTGTCTGTCTGTCTGTCTGTCTCTCTCTCTCTCTCTCTCTCTCTCTCTCTCTCTCTCTCTCTCTCTCTCTTTCATTATCGTCCACAAGTGAGGGGATTCTCCAGATAACACGTTTTTTTAAACCTCTGTCTTGATCTCATAACCCTTTGAGACACTTAAAGTCGTCTGGTGGCTCCATGCACATTTTACAACCAAATCTCAGAGACATCGTACTCGTTACAATTTATTCTGTGCAAAACAACTCCTACTTCGGTTGCTCTCTGACTATACCTGACAAAATTCAGTCCCAAGCTCACAGTTCTGGAAATGTTCTAGATCCACATTTTTCGGTTCTCAATTGATGCATCCCAAAACTCCAGATCTGAAGAAATAATCAAATAAGAAATATAACATTTTAGTCTACCTATTTAGAATTAAGTCTGAAGTGTACTTTTCACTTTTAGAAATATCAAATGTGATATTATTATCTGAAACAGTGGGGATCACATTCTTATTAAGGGCCAGAACGCTTCTCGTGACTTTCTCATATTACTCGTTTTTGTTGTTGTTGAAATTATAAGAGTTCTTTTTACAAACCCATTATCTTTATGTTTGTGTATGTGTTTGTTATTCATGAATATTAAACCAAAAATAGTTTGTTTGTGAATTTTGTTTCAGGTCAAATAAATGTGTCAGGAAAACGTCTTCTTTAAAAAAATCACTCAGAATGTTTGTCTTTGTTAAAAAAAACCCATCGAGAAGCTGAAAATTGAGCAGCGGTTTAAAAAATTCTCTCACCTCTTTGGCTTAAATCATACAAGCTGGCCTGAGGATCTGTGATGTGTAGAGTTTAAAACATACTACCAGATGTCGAAAGTAGTCACCTGAAATCTCATTCCATTACTGGCAGACTACCAAAATCCTATCTAAGGCAGACTGTAAAGTGTCTTTTAAATAAATTGACATTGATGAAGCGAGCGGGTCCGAAAGATAGTCACCCCCCCCCCCCCCCCCCACACACCCTTTTCACCCAAGCCTTCCTTTACAAAAGGCAAACTCCTTTCCTTCGAGGCGTCCTAATCACTCCATGTCAAGCTCAGGTTATCAGGTACCAGTAAATTTACACAAGGTCATAGTCTTCCGTGAATTTTAATATCTCACACTACTGAGAGATATTGCGATAGGCTTTGTAAATGGTACATTATATTTCCTTTGGTTCAACTCACGAGCAACTGATCTCAGGTGGGATCAAATGTTGTCCGTCCCTTTATCGGCAATCTGCCCCTCCCTTTCTCTCTCTGTTCTTTTTCAGTCCTTCTGTTGAACTGCTTGCCTTCCTGTCTTTTCGTTCGTTTGTCTGAGTGTTGGTCTGCCTATTCTCAACCCCAGAGTTTAAGCAACAGCTGTAGATCTTAACTTCTGTTGTGTGTTGGAAAATGATACGCAGCTTTTGAATGAGTAACTTTTCTTCTACAGTGTGCATACCAGGCTCAGATCATGAACACCTTTTATAAATCTATGAACTAAAAGGATAGCAATGTAATTTTTCGGGATATAGCATCATGTTTCTGGGCGCTATGGTAGCAAGCATGCCCAACTCGTGAATGTTCGAGCAAAGTAAAATAACAGCATATTAAATACGTTAAGCACTATGAGAATTGACAAGCGACAAAACAACAACAACAACAACAACAACACCCCCAAAAAAAACACACACGAAAAACCCCCCAACAAACAAACCCCCCCCCCCACCCAAAGACACTACACAAAAAGTGGAGGTCACATCGAGCGTTTAAAATACATCGAAGTGGTTTGGATACGTTTATGAGAATGGGGCCACAATAGGCATACAGCATGCGATTCAATGCCTCGAATAGACCCTCCAAGGCACAATATGGTGATCCCCCCCAAAAAAAGCAAAACAGGCAGCCCACGTCCGACAATATTGCATATCTGTGCGACGCTCAGTGGTATAAGAAGAAAGAAAATGTAAAATGTAAGTAAAGTAATACTATAGTAGAATTAACCCTGCAACTAATTTGTCGCTTTTAAGCACAAGGGGGCTATCCCGAAAATGCTGTTTTGAGAGAATCGAATGTAAAGTCTTTGCCCCTTGATCAGTTTGTTTTAAAGTCAATGAGATTTTTCTCTATAACCAAACAAAAATACACACCAATGAAACCAAACTTCTTCAATAGGTAGGACAATGCCCACTTTTGGTGTAGGTCAAGATTTCTAGAAACCCCCGAAATCTGGGTTAGTCCGCTTATCCTTAAAAGCGACCAGTTGTGCCCGGATGTGCATTTCATCACTTTATATATACTCAGAGAATCATATCTCACCTCTTACTTCATTATGGACTCTACTTTACCGACACCACTGGGCTGACTGCACGGAGACAACTTGTCTAAGGCGATCACTGTGCAAACAACAGAAAGATGATCATGCGTTGCTCCACTTGTGTGCGTAATTCATCGCATATACAAACCATGTCTTGATAGGGCCTTTCAAGAAGACCTGGACAAATAGAATTAGACACCCCAGACCGTGGTCCTCCTCCTTTAAAAAAAAACCCTCGCAGTGGCAAATAAGCGATTTGCTTTTGATTCAAACGGCAAGGCGATCTTTTCAACTATTTTGAAACGTATGAGAGTGAACAAGTATAACATGACTCACATTTTTTCCTCCGCTTGGCGACCGCTCTTCCCTGTTGTCCTTCGACTATTTTCAGCCTTTTTGTTGGGTGTTTCATTTCACACGCATCTGTGGTGTAGTTGTGAGGTTCTTTGCTTGCATACAAAAGGAATGAGTTCAGTTCTCTCTCAGCGGTGATATTCAATTGAATGCAGGGGAGGACTTCCGTAACGAGCGACCACTATTAAATCTAGATTATATTCAATGGCTTCCAAAATCCTGATGGGAGACCGATAGCCACTGTT